CCACGGTTTAGGGTTTAGGGTTTAGGGTTTAGGGTCTAGGCTTTAGGGTTTAGGTTTTAGGGTCTAGGGTTTAGGGTTTAGGGTTTAGGGTCTAGGGTTTAGGGTTTAGGGTTTAGGACAGCAGAAGGCCGATGCAAAGTGCGATGTGATGGTTGTTCTTACGTCAGGGTTATGCCCTATCATGAAGCGGGGTCTTGGGCTTGAGGGCTAGGACTGCTGGAACAGGTCTTCTGATTCATGAAATCTCAGCAAAAGTAGGAAAAACACGATATTTTAAAACATGCGGTGAAGCTTCTTAGCAGACGTAGAAAGGCATTCATGCACACGCCCCAAAACCCTAAACCCTAAGCCTCCTTAAGCCCTAAGCCCTGAACCTCAAAGTGCTGAGCCTTCATCTATAAGCCCTGACGCCCAAAATCTTTGTCGAGCCCTTCTAGAACGATCATAGGAAGCACTGATAAGGCCCCGACAGAAACTCCTTAACAACTCCGAACCGTTCCATCCAGGCATGGACATCCCTGCAGTGGCAAGACGATTTTACAGGCCGGGCAATGGAGGTCCTGGATCCTTGGTGACAGGGTTTAGGGTTCAGGGTTGGGGGTTGAGGGGTTTAGGGTTAGGGGTTATGGGTTTAGGGTTTAGGGGTCTAGGGTTTAGGGTGACCTGAATTTTAGGCATGCGTTTTCCTGCAGGGTTTGCATAGGGTTCACGGCTCGGCCATTGTAGGGTTTAGGGTTTAGGTTGTAGAAGGGTTTGATAAGGTTTACACGGTTTTAGATGATTGATTTGAGAATACGGCATTCGGCTCTCGTGGAGTTGCAAGTTGTGGCTGTAATGATAAGGCTAGGGTTCCAGTTTTCAGTGTTGTAACATACTAGGCTTTCTACGATAGTTTTAATTATATATATATATATATGTGTATATATATATATGTATATATATATATATATATATAGGGCTGCCTCAGGCTTAGTCAGGGCACTTCTAACTCCCAATATCCTAAACCATAAACCCCAAACCCTACACCCTGAGCCCTAAACCCGAAACCCTGAACCCTAAGCCCTACTTCCTAGGTCCGCTGATATTTCAACCAGGCCTACCCAAAACCCCCTTGTCCCTAAACTGGGCTGGTGATTTTATAGGGTTTAGGGCTTGGGGTTTAAATGCTCATTTTCCTAGGTTCCCCAGTAGTACTCTTTTGCACTTTGTCTTTTTGGGGCTCCCTTCTTAAAGAGCAGACTGCTGTTGGTTTATCATGTTTAGGGTGTGTTGATGATTTTCAGTGGTCATTTTATAAACATGTTTACGGTTGACGAGGTTAGAGATTTCTTTTACGAGGTAGGTGTAGAAATAGCTGCAAGAATCCCTAAGACCTAAACCCGACACCCCAACCCTAAACCCAAGCCCTATACGGCCCTATACCCGAAACCCCCTTAATCCTGATTTACATAGTCTGTTTCGCGCAAAGAACCGAGATTTCCAGGTGCCGGTCACGAGCCCCTTAAAGGCAAGCAGTTCAACGACATGATCATGGCCAAGGATGACATTTTTTGTGGGTGGGGGAGGGGGGGGGGCACTCTTTAGGGGGTCTCAGGTTTCAGGGCCTGGGGTTTAGGGTAGGGTTGAGTCTAACGTTCATGGCCAAGGATGGAATTTTGGGTGCCATTTTCGAGGGGGGTTGAGGGTTTTCCTAAACCCTAAACCCTAAACCCTAAACCCTCCTTTGGAGGTCCCTCAAGAGGGGTTTTTACAAGGGCTCTTTGCCAGGCTTACGATGTGGGTGCTTTGGATTTGAGGGGTTGGGAATGTAGGGGCTTTGGCATCTAGGGCACGAGCTTTCAAGCATTAGGGGCTTTAGGGTGAAGGGTTTTTTAGGGTTTAGGGTTTAAGGTTGAGGGGTTTAGGGTTTAGGGTTTAGGGATGGGAAGGTCTCCGAGACAGAAATCGAATAATCTAAAACCCTGAACCTTCAAACCTTGAATCCCGAACTAAACAGCCCCACCACCCAAAACCCTTTCGCATACCCGAAACCGCAATCCCCTACCTCACACAGAAACTTGAGAGTTGTCTTTTCCGTTGGAAGGTGCGTGCCTGGGATTGTCTCTTTTGAAACCCTCAACCCTATACCCTAAACTCTGAAGCGCTAAACCCTAAACCTGTCTGAGAGGTGCAGGTCTCACGAGCTGACAGCCAAGCAGTGACTTTGGGATTTCGGGCAGGGTGAAGCCCTGAACCACATATCCGTGAAGCCTCGACCTCAAACCCTTAACCCCTAAACCCCTAAAGCCCTAAACTCCTAAACCCCTAAACCCTAAACTCCTAAATCCTAAACCCCTTAACCCCCAAACCCTAAAACCCCTAAACCTCCAAAGCCTAAACCCTTAACCCCGAAACCCCTAAACCCCTGAACCCTTAAACCCTAAACCTTAAACACTAAACCCTTAAGCCCTGTATAAACCCCGTACCCTCAGACCCGAAGCTTTGACCATCACTGCGGCTGAAAGCGGCTTTGACCTGCCGAAAAGCAATTTGACAAGGCGAGCGCCGGCGAGATCTTGGACCTGTTGGACGTCTCCTTGCTGGAGCTGCGGTTTAGGGTTAACAGGGTTTAGGATCTAGGGTTCAGGGATTAGGGTTTCGGGTTTAGGATTTAGAGTTCAGGGTTCAGGGTTTAGGGTTTAGGATTTAGGGTTCAGGGTTCAGGGTTTAGGATCTCCTTGCTGGAGCTGCGGCAGGGTTGAGCTTATCCGTTTCAGCTGATTGGGGACTCCGAACTTTAAGAAGCCAAGCCGCAATCCCTAATCCCTAAAGCCCGCATGGGTTTAGGGTTTAGGGTTTAGGGTTTAGGGTTTAGGGTTTAGGGTGCAAACGGGGTATATACAGAAGCCCTTAACGGTCCATGTACCGGGAGGGTGCACACAGGTACTTTCGGGCAAAGGCTTTTGGGCACATGGACCACTAGGATTTGGAACTCCGAAATCCCAGAGATCCGAACTTCATGGCCCTTAGAGGGTTTTTAGGGTTTAGGGGAACTCTTCTTATAGTAGTAGAGGAGGTAGCTTCGAACCTTTTGGGGTACCAGAATCATTGTATGGCTGAGGGTTCAGGGTTTATTTGCCGATAGGCTGCTCCCACACACCATCCCCGGTTTTTCTCATTGCTGAGCAATTTAGGGTTTGGGATTTGCGAGCGGGCGTCTACGATTCGGGGGTTCCGATGTTTCGAGGCCGACCCACGTGCGACAACATCAGGACTTCGGCAAACTCTCAGCAGAAAGCAATGCCGATACCAACACTCCCATAAAGGCCCCCATGGGGCCCCTGTGTAAAACCCCTAAACCCTAAGCACTCAGGGGCTGAGTAGGTAACCTTTAACCTTTTGGGGCTTATATGATCCTACTATGATTCAAAAGGTTAACCCTTTTTGGGGGCTAGGGTACTCAGCCCCTAAGAACAAGACAGGAGTTCAGTGTGGTCAATGCTGTAACCGCCCTGCATCGCATCGCCAAAGCAGAGGACCCAATCACGCAGATTGAGCTTCTGTCGCTTTCTGGTCTTCGGAGCCAGGATTTTCTAAGGTTTGAGAGTCCGGTTTAGGGTTTTAGTGTTTACTGCTTAGGGTTTAAGGTTTAATTCAGGGCTTAGGAGGGTTTTTGGGTTGAGGCTTCATGGTTTTAGAAGGGCATTGAGCTTTTAAGGCTTCAGGACTTTCCGCAATATATCTACATTAGGTTGTGCCCTGACGCCCTGTCCTTATTCTTCGGGCCCCTAGAGTAACAAGGCCAAGGAGGTAACGTGTTTGGATGTTCAGAGGTGTTGAAGCATGCCCAAGCGCCCAGTAACCCACGTTACTGGGTTGAGGGTTTAGTTCAGGGTTTAGGGTCTAGGGGTTACCCACTAGAAAGGTAGTAGTTGAACTGTAAACACTTAGAGATGCCTGTAGAGTTTAGGGTTAGAGATCCCGATGGAGCACCTTAAACCCGAAACTCAACTCGCACCACGGCTTCTGGCAGTGGTCAATTCCAAACCTCTTCCTGAGCTTGTGGTGTTATGCCTAGCTGCCCTTACGAAAACTCCTTAGGTACTTCCCACATGTGCCCACATCTGTGAAACAGTTTAATGGGTACCCTAAACCCTAAACCTGCGTGCGAAGTCACTCAGCAGCTTCCCCGGGATAGGACGGACATCGGTGGCGGAAAGATCCTCGAATTCACTACCTGCATCCCGGTATGAGAGCCACGGTTTAGGGTTTAGGGTTTAGTGTAACAGTAGTCATGGAGGTTGGTGTATGCGGAGCTGTCGTGGTCGGCGAGTTTAAGATGTTGGGCTCAGATTTCAGCGCGTTTGGGGCGGGGTGTCGGGTCTGTAAGCCATGAACCGTTGCCTCTCCCTGTGGTTTACGGCTTAGGGTTCAGGGTTGAGGGCACACTTGTCAAACTTGATTGTGGGATTCTCGAGAACCAGCTTTTCCTTCGACATCTGTTTTGAAATAGACAGCTCTCTCGGGCCAATTCTTGTCAAGCCCAGTAGACATCCGACATCACACACCCGTATCTAGCCACTATTGGGCCTGTTTTCAGCTTTACTTCCGGTTGTGGGTTCAGGAATCGTCGCATCACCGCAATGTTCACGAGTTCCAAGAAGGACACCGCGATCTTGTCAAAGCTTTGACAGTCCTTGCAAGACTGCACGAATGATGGAGGCAGTTGAGACTGTTTTCAGAACTTCTTCCTGAGTCGTGGACATTGTGCTCAGGATGATCTCTCTGCTCCATCATGACTGCTCAAAGCGGTTGGTATTTAAGAGAGCCTTTCATATGTGTGCCAGGATTGGAAATGCCTGTGCTAATGCTGCTAGTTGTTTTCGGCACCTGATTCATGATGAGACGGTGCTCATTATAAAACCGGCCTCCCATAAAGAGACTCTAGTTAGATTCCTGTTTGCAGAACTGGGCATTGGATGTGTTGCGTTTGCCTGCTGACCAGGCGTTGCTTCATAATGTGACTCTGAGCGTCTAATTCCTCATATTATGAGAGGTGTTAGGACTTATATGAGAGATGTTGGTGGGATCTATGGGGCTCCTTCTGAAGACTGGTGCATGCATATTCTGGTTAGGTTATAGTAGTACGAACCCTACAGCCCTACAACATACTACTAAACTATCTGGTCCGCACCAGAAAAATTCATTCGAGTGTTTGGACTCATACAGTAGGTCTTGTCTTATTGTTCTTCAAACCTCCACCTGAACCACTAAGCCCTACATAAGCCTGAAACCCAAAGAGGATGAGATGGACAAGAAGGAAACGGGTCGTCGCGTACCCGGTGAGGCCTTTCCAACACTTTGGGGACTCGCGTTTGGTGTCTTGTTCTTCCAAGGCGCCTTCCGGGCATACAGAACTTACTTGAACCCCAAATATCAAGTTAGGGATACTAAAACAGGTAGCTTTCTCATAGCCCCCTAAACCCTAAACCCCATACCCTACACCGGGGTTTAGGATGGTTTAGGGTGAAAGATTGTTGATGGTTGCGTGCTAGCAAAGATACTTCCTGCGCCATGGCTCTCGACCCTAAGCCCTAAGCCCCCAACCTCATGCAGGGGCCTTAAATAGTTGCAACAGGGCTCTGGTTCAGGGTTTTAGGGTTTAGGGTTTTGAGGGTTTTAGGGTTTTCAGGGTTTTGGGGTACATTGCACTTTAACTAACTATAATGAGGAATCTCCCAAAATGGTATTGGTAACTATTTAGGCCTCTTTGTTAGCTCAACCCGAAACACCTTCGGCTGCCAGGCCCCCACACCGAAATTCGTTCATAGAAGCCCGAATCGAGAAGTGTACCAAGTTTAGGGTTTAGGGTTTCGGGTTTAGCAACAACCCTAAACCCTAAACCCGAAACCTTAAACCCTAAAACCTGAACCCTAAACCCTGCAAGTCCTGAGTGCAGAAACCCCGGAAAGCCTGTAAGGAAAAAGCACCGAGCCTGGAGCCCTGGCGCACTAAAGCCTTGAAGCCGCATAAAGGCACCTTAAAAATTCAACTGAGGCTTTAGGGTTTAGGGTTTAGGGTTTAGGGGTTTAGGGTTTCGGGTCTAGGCTTTAGGGGGTTAAGCTTTAGGGGTTTTGGGTTTAGGGTTTAGGGGTTTAGGGTTGAGGGTCTAGGCTTTAGGGTTTAGGCTTTAGGGGTTTAGGGTTTAAGGTTTAAGGTCTAGGTTTTAGGGTTTAGGGTTTAGGCTCTTTCCAGAGTCCTCCCAGAGCACTCTTCGACAGGGATAGCATGGGTCCCCCGGTATACCCAGGGACTCCAAAGCCCCTCAACTAAGGAATAGACCTTGAATCATATTAGGATTCCTATGATAGTTTAAAGTATATTCCTTAATTAAGGAATATACTTTAAATCATATTAGGACTCCTATTAT